TTCTGGGCCTAAGCAGCATGTCCTCGTCATCATCCGGAAGCTCAATGACATTGGGAGGGGCTCAAAGAAATCAGCCGACCCTAGATGAGTCACCAGAATTTAATCGACCATACAATCGAGAACAAGATCACGAGAATTGTACCGGGGTTGGAGGTGACTACATCTTCCATGTCCTCATCTTCATACTGGCGAGTGGAAGTCCCGGAGGTGGCAGCTCTGCAAATTTCAATATTCAGTCGGTCACGTTTGTTACACCGAGTCAACCAAATAATCAGGTCAGATTATTACCCAGAGATAGTAGGAATGACCATTTTGATCTTGGGCAAAGCCTTCGGAGATTTGGACGACGCAGCCTTCGGTGGTTTCGGAGCTGGAGGAGGTGCAACTTTTGATTGCTTCGGCGTCTTCTCAGTCGACACTGGAGAGGACGTCCGAGGATGCTTTGAAGACTGCCCAGTCGGTGCGGTCACCGTGGCGTGGAGGCTTTCCGGGTCGTGAGCGTGCTTAGACCTTTTTTCTTTGCGAGGAGGTGAGTCGACCTCTTCCTCGTCACTCGGGTCGCCGCTCTCCTCACCATCCTCCTCGTCCGAGTGCCACTCGCCACTATCACCTCCACTCACCTCCTCCTCCGAGTCCTGCTCCTGCTCTCCGTTGGGCATCGAATACATCTCAGTAAGAGCCTGAAAGATAACAAGCAAAGCAAAAAATAGCCAGTCGTCAATAGGCGGTTACATGATTAATCAAAAAAGTACCCGGCAATCCAGAATCAGACCTGGTCTGGCTGGCACGAATTGTCAAATGGAACGACCCTCCTGGACCCTCTGGGGTTATCCTTATTGCCCGTGATGCCTCTCAGCCACTTCTCCACCGTGCCCTCGTCGATCTCCTCCGGGTGGATCCGAGTGGAATCCTCAATGCCCGAGTACATCCACATTGGATGATCGCGAGCTTGGAGCGGTTGGATGCATCGTTTGAGGAATACCTCCAGCAGATCCATACCGGTCACGCCACCCCGGACGAGCTGGACCACCCGCTCGACCAACACCTTCACCCGTGCTCTCTCCTCTGGGATCACTTTCAATGCGGAAGGCCTCTCGACCCGAGCCATGGAAAAGGCAGGGAGCTTGGTCGACTGACCTGGAGTCGGCTGGTCTTTACAATAAAACCAGGTTGATTGCCAACCCCGGACCGACTCGGGAAGGATCATGGCTGGAAAAGTGCTTTTGTTCCTCATCTGAATCCCAAGACCCCCGCACATCTGAATCACATGTGTTTTCTCGTCACTCAGATTGGCCTTCTTGACCGACTGAGAACGACAAGTGAAAATGTGCTTGAAAAGACCCCAGTGTGGCCTACAACCTAAGAAGTTCTCGCAATTGGATACGTAGGTGGCAAGGTATACGATGGAGTTGGGATTGAAATGGTGAAGTTATACTCCAAAGAAGTTCAAGAATCCCCGGAAGAAAGGATGGGGGGCAGAGAAAATCCACGATCGACATGAGTTGCGAGGAGTATGCACTCACCATCTCGCGGACGCAGTCCAGTCTCGCCTTCCGGGAGCCGCGCCAATTCGTGGGGAATCAGCCCTCCCTCGACCAGATCGTCGATGTCATCTTGGCTTATCGTAGACCGGATCCAGTCACCCTGGATCCAGCCGCGCGGCAGGTCGGATCTCGACGAGGATCCGCCCCGGATGGACCTCTTTCCCTTCGCCTTCACCGTCGCCTTCTTTGAACGCTCCAAGGCCACCATCTTCTCCTTCCCCATGGTCGCAGGCGAAGCTCGAACGGAGCAGCGGCACTGAGGGCGGAGGTGGAGATGGCGGAGAAAGCAGAAGAGAAAGGAAGAAAATGGAGGAACGTTGCGCATGAAATCCAATCTGGCACCTTATATGGGGCCGCTTCCGAGTGGCTGACTTGTGGGGTCAGACGAGCCAATCAAATCCCGCAACAGTTGCGGGCGAGGTACGTGGCGAAAAAGGCGACGCGGTGATCGAGGCGGCCTCGCCTCATCCCATCCGATTACTGCGGACTCCTCCATCTCGCGCGCTTCCCAAATACAAAATCCCATGATATTCGCGCACAGCAAGGCAACCTGTCAGGCGGGGGATCTTTTCCATAACGACACTCAGAGCATTGCAGCAAAAGTTCACTCGGCAGAAATCAAGAACGGATCAAGGCAACTGAGAAGAAGTTAAGATCATCATAATTGTTCGGTTGATCACAAATAAGACACTCCCGAAGCATGGAAATTAAATCGGAAGAATTCTCAACTCCTTCCCACTCAAGCCCCGAACCATTCAGGGGGCTAATGATGAAGCTATGTACCTAGGGTAGAGTCACAGGTTTGACCTAGACGCCCTCCCAAGGTCATCGCCCTAAAGCCAGAAGCATTCGAAGGGTATCATCATTCACTCGACTAAAGACATTCCACTCGGAAGAATAAATGATACTCGACTATAACAGAAGCCACTCGACGTACAGAAGATCTAAAGCCACTCTGCACAAACAACGGTCGGGCGTTTACTCATAGACTTAATTATCATTTATATCACTTAATTGCTAGCGTTACCAGTAACGTTCCACTCTTAATGTACATTGAACCCTGTGTAACGGAGGGGAGCCGGGGTCCTGGCGCACTCTATATAAGCCACCCCCTCCTCTGGGACAACGGTTCGCATCTTTTGTAGAACTCACACACACATACAATCCAGTCGACCGCCTCAGGGCACCGAGACGTAGGGCTGTTACTTCCTCCGCAAAGGGCCTGAACTCGTAAGCTCATGTGTACAACTACTCCATAGTTAGGATCTTGCCTCCTCATACCTACCCCCCATTCTACTGTCAGTCTTAGATCCACGACAACTGGCGCTGGCGGACCCAGGCCGAACCCGGCGCGCTGGGGGGGGGGTCGCTGGGGCGATTGATTTTGGCGTGAACAAAAGCGGGTCCCCCGAGTCAGCGACCCCGCCTCGTCGTCCTCAACGCATCGGTTTCCCGTGGGGAATCAATACCAAGGCTGCCGCCGGTCAGCCTTTCATTGATTCCTCACGGGCGGCGCGGCGCGACGACGCGCCCCCTCCCGCCACACGTACACACGCCGCCGCCCCGGCCCTATATAAAGCAGCGCCTCCCTCGTCGGTGGCCGCACCCACCCGCAGCCCCCTCTCTCCCCGTGCACAGCCGTCGCCGACCTCTCTCCTCTTCCCTTCTTTCCCGTACACAGCCGCGACGATGGGCGAGAGGTTCCCCGGCAATGGGGCGGCGGCCAATGGCTTCAGCCGCCGCTCGCTCCACGAGTGGGAGGCCTACCTCCTGCACGAAGCGAACATCTCGGCGCCTCCAGACATGCACGTGCCGGGGCGGTGGAGGCTCAGCGCCGGGGGTGCCCCCGTCCCCCCGCTGCCCGACGTCACCACGCGCCCCGACCACTTCGCCGATGAGGTCGATCGCGTGTGGGCGTCGCTGCCGGAGAAGCAGCAGGCCCTCTCGGAGTACGCCGCCGACAACCACCAGGCATGGGCGGCGTACTTCGAACACCGGCAGGCGCAGTGGCTGGCCTCCACCAACAACGCGCCGGTCCTGCGGGGGACGAAGAACAGCGACGACCGCCGCCTATGGTGGGGCGCCCCCGGCCGCACGCTCAACGCCGTCCTCCAGCACCTCGAGGGCGGCAACGAGTCACCATTGACGTACCCTGCCGCCCCGGTCCCGTGCCGGAGCGGCGGCCAATGGATGCCGAGGAGGACGGCGTCCTCTCTTCCTCCTCCCGCTCGTCCTCCCACTCCTCCGGGTCGCCGGCGTTGTTCAACGTCAAGGCCGAGCCCACGGAGACGCTGCTCGGCAGGCGCATCTGCAGCGCCGGCATCGTCATCAATGAGGGCGGGTGCGCCTCCTCCTCGGCTCCTCCCCGCGTCGTCAACCCGAAGACGGAGCCGGAGCTCGCCGCCGTGAAGACGGAACCGGGGCTCAACAACGTGGCGACCTTGAAGTGGGCGCGCGAAGACTGGGTGCGGACGGAGCTGGAGTGCCAGTGCCGCGCCCTAGAGCAGATCGGCACTCGGCGCCATGGCCATGACGTGGGAGGCGTCGTCGTTCTCGACGACGACAGTGACGACGACGCGCCGCCACCGTTCCGCCAGGGCGACCCCGGGTAGGGGTCCAGCAGGGACGGCCGTGTCAAGGAGGAGAAGGACGACGAGGACAACGGCGGTGGCGGCGACGGCGTCGACTTCGCCGCGCTCAGCGTGTTCTTCGGTCTGTAGTTGCGCCTTTTTTCTTTTAAGTATTTAACTTTGCTATGTAAAAAAATATTTAAGTCGCCTAAGTAATGTCATGTTTGCCGAATTTTAACCGAATCTTTGTCCCTTTGACCAAATTTTAGTCGAATCTTTGTTTAGAAAACTTTAAATAAGGCGTCTGGGGGTGACCCTGGGGCCGGCTGGAAACCCGATCACCCTTAAGCCGACTTTAGCGCCGGTTCATCCCCATACGGCGATTTTACGAGCCCCTAGGGATCCAATGGCTGAAGATGCTATAATGCTCTTACTTGTTCAAAAAAGACATGTGTTTTGCAATATGATGTTTCAAAATCTGGAGAAAAAGGCGAAACACACCTCATTTTTCGAAAACAGACAACCTGAGAGCGAAATACTCTCCCGGCTGATCGACAAGCGATACATCAAAAATAGCAGGTGCGAAAACTCGTCGCGTCCTGCACGCCTCCGCGGCTTCGCTCCCTCTACCCCCTGAAAAAAGTAAAGAACGCAACACCCACCCCACCACCACCACCACCATCTCCCTCGCATCGATCGCCTCCGCGATTCCCAACCCAACCGAAGAGGAAACCACCCCAACCAATCAACCAACTTGGAGCCTCCCTGTTCTTCTAAAAAAAAAATCAACCAACTTGCCAACGAACGAGCGACCACCGACGGCTCCTCGTCGCCGCCGGTGATCGAGGTGGGCCCCGCAGGCCGGATCTCGGGAGGAGGAGGAGCAATGTCGCGGGCGTCGCTGTCGCCGTCGTCGTCGGGCGACGAGGAGGACGACGACGACGAGGGGGTCGACGGGTACCGCAAGGGCGGATACCACGCCGTGCGCCCTGGGGACCAGTTCTCCGCCGGACGCTACGTCACCCAGCGCAAACTCGGGTGGGGCAACTTCTCCACCGTCTGGCTCGCCTTCGACGTCGCGTCCCAGGTCCGTCGGCCGCTTTCCCAACCTTGATTCCACCCTGTTCCGATCGAGATCCTATCTGATCCTTCCAGCCCCCGAACCGGAGATGATCGCGATCCAGTAGTATCCTCCGTCTAATGCACGCGTGGTCTAGATCTCGTCCTTTGTCGAATTAGAGGTGGGTGGGTGGGTTGTTAAAGTCGAAATCGATTGGATCATAAGGCGGCGGCTGCCGACTCACTGGTCAGCTCCTTGTTGCGGACGCGCGCCCCTGCGCGTGGTCCCCGGAAAGGGACCGATGGTGGCTGCGTGTACAGTAGTATATAGGTTTTCTATTTACTAGAGTGCGGATTTAGTTTGTCATTTTTTTTCCCTTGGCGGGGGATTTGTTAATCCATTTCTGCTGCTACTGGGGAAAACATCAACTTTTTGATGACTGAATGATTAGCCTGGGTGGTTTTACATGGCCCAGTTAAATAGCCAATTATGCCGTAGAAAATTACAGTTACTCTTTTAACAAATTAAAGGTCTTGGACAGTTCTTTTAATGTTGTGTATAATGCCATAATGGCATTTAGTCACAAATTATGTTGGTTAACATGAAATATGTTCATAATTGAGTTGTTATGGTTAGCTGCATCTCTCTTAGCATGACCTGAATTCTAAAACGTTACAATTTTATTGCTTCACTTGTGCATAGGATGTGCTGATCATGATAATGCTCCCTTATTTGTAGAAATTTGTTGCTCTTAAGATTCAGAAGAGTGCACCAGAGTTTGCTCAAGCTGCTCTTCATGAAATTGAGTTCCTCTCGGAGATCACTAAGAGAGATCCTTCAAACTGTAAATGCACCATCCAGTTGATAGATCACTTCAAGCATGCAGGGCCAAATGGGCAGCATATCTGCCTTGTCTTTGAATTCCTTGGAGACAGCTTACTTAAGCTAGTACAGTACAACCGCTACAAAGGCATTGGACTGGGTAGGGTGAAGGAAATATGCAGGTCCATTTTGGTAGGTCTTGATTACTTGCATGGAGAGCTTGCAATCATCCATTCAGATTTGAAACTTGAAAATGTCCTACTTGTTTCAACAATTGATCCCTCAAAGGATCCCATTCGCTCCGGACTTAAACCTAATCTTGAGAAGCCTGAGGGGAATCCTAATGGAGAAGCTGTTCTTAACCCGATTGATAAGAAACTGAAGATGAGAGCAAGGAGGGTGCTCGCAAAGCTTGCTGAGAAAAGAAAATCAGCTGCAGAATTTGCACGCTCAGAAAGAAGCTTGGATGGGATTGACATGACATGCAAGATTGTAGATTTTGGAAATGCTTGTTGGGCTGACAAGCAATTTACAGATTTTATTCAGACAAGGCAGTACCGGGCACCAGAGGTCATTCTTGGTGCAGGATACTCATTTCCTGTTGATATGTGGTCGTTTGCTTGTATTGCGTTTGAGCTCGCAACGGGCGAAATGCTATTTACGCCCAAGGAAGGGCATGGGTACAGCGAAGATGAGGTATTTGTTACATTCTGCATTAACCTAACCCATGATGCTTTATGTTGTCTTTTGAATTGCCTTCAATCACGTGGCGCATTTGCAAGGTAGATTGAATTTGAGGAATGTGAAGAAACTACAATGTTGGCACATGATATCGTGTTGAAGAGTCAACTGACATGTTTATCCAAAGTATCGTTAATACAATGTACTCAGATTATATTGATATTCCAAACAGAGATGGAAGTCCTTTCAGATAACAAAAGGATGTTTGCTATGTTAACATGTACCTGCTAGAGTTTGTAGAGGGCTCCATTTCTAATTAGATAAGGAGATGAGACTAATGTACAGTTCTCGGAAATGTCACAGCATTATACTGTATTAGTTGGCATTTTTCTGTGGGCTTTGAAACACTTCCTAAAATAAAGTATATATACTTTGAATTTATTATATGATGTAGGAACTGGAAATAAATTTCCTGTCTGTACTAATATTTGTAGACGTTCCACTTCATATCTCATGCATTTTGTTAATGACTAAGCGTTCAATATTACAGGATCACTTGGCTTTAATGATGGAGGTCTTAGGAAAGATGCCTAGAAAGGTACATGTACTTTTATTCTGACTAAACGTTTTCGATACAATCAACAAACTCAGCAGTATATTTTTTTGCCACGAATTCAGATTGCTACGATGGGAACAAAATCGAAGGAGTATTTTGATCGCCATGGAGATCTGAAGCGGATAAGAAGACTGAAATTCTCGTCTATTGAACGTGTCCTAGTTGACAAATATAAAATTCCTCAATCAGATGCTCGGGAATTTGCTGAGTTTCTATGCCCTTTACTTGATTTTGCCCCAGAGAAGCGCCCGACAGCTGCACACTGTCTAAAGAATAAATGGCTTCAGCGTGATGATGGTAAGAATGTTACCAACATTGCTTCTAAGAGCAGTGATGTAACATGCAACTTCGGGAGCATGCCTGACAGTTGTGCCCAAAGAATTGATGCAAAGGGGAACACTAAAAGCAGTATCAACAGTAACACTGAGAATGCTGATGTGGTACGACCCACTGAAAGGATTTCCAACAGCAATGCCAAAAGCACTTGTGTAAATCCCAACACTGGAACAATCATGTATAAGGATGGAAACAACTCTGATGTAAAGCCCCACTCTGGTAGCATCATCACAAACAAAAATGCCAAAAGCTCCGATGAAAAGCCTTTCACTGGAAGCATCTCCAACAAAGATGACAAAACAGTTGATACAAAGCCCATCACTTGGAGCAGCACCAGCACTGACGACAAGAGCGTTGACACAAAGAGCAGCATTGGAAGCGTTACCAACAGAGATGCAAAGAGCATTGAAGGGAAGCGAAACATTCGAAGCGTTGTAAACAGTTATATGAAGAATTTTGATGCAAAGCGGAACACTGGAAGCATAGCCAATAGCGAAGTCAAGGACTTGGATGTTAAGCCCAGCAGTGGAGATATTGTCAGTGTTGATACCAACAGTACTAGTGCAAAGCCCAACACTGGAAGTGTTGAAAACAGTGATGTCACGGGTACTATTTTGATGGCGAACACAGGCCCTGCCAACAGCGGTGCCAAGTTACAGACTAACACTGACAGTGTTGATGAGGATGACACAGATTCGAAGCCCAATGTTGGACGTGTTGCGGCAAGCATACAGAGGCTGGAGAGCAGCATGAGTAAGGTACAAATCGGGAGATATCGATGAGAAAACCCATGACCAGTAACTTCTTCATCAAAGCTTGGACATGTTTATTGTGGAGAGGCATATTCTTTTTCGTTAGATTTGTATCATTGATTTGTTACGAGGTTAATAACTATGTATGGAGCCAACCTTGATCAAGACTGAGGACCTGGCAATCACCAGCTGGCACTTTATATATCTATATTCCTGCTAACTGTAAAAAGTTTTATATTTGCCCACAGAAAACATTTGGAGAGGTTCATATTCCTTATATATACCCCTGGACAAATTGTATTAATGCTCACAGAATATTTGACATTCAAGGTACATAACATTTTTTTGGACGGCGGATAGATTGGCAAAGCGAGGATGGCCAAATTGTGATGTTTGCCCTCTCTGCAAGAGAGTGCAAGAGTGTGGGCCCCATCTCTTCTACAAGTGCCGCTACACCCGGCGCCTTTGGTCTCTGGTCATTGGGAAATTCCCCATGCTCGGGCTCGACACTTTCGCTTGGCCCTTGTTTGAAACCGTTCAACACTGGTGGGCAAGCACTTGCGTCGAAGGAATGCCAGATCGTCAAGCCAAGGCCTCCATCACCATGCTAGTCTCATGGACAATTTGGAACGAGCGGAACGCAAGAGTTTTTAAGCATAAGAGTGCCCCACCGCCAATCTTGCTTTCGTCCATCTCTACCGAGGCAAATCTTTGGGTCATCGCCGGAGCTAAGAAATTAGGGTCTTTTATCGCACGCGAGTAATCCGCATGTGGTGTATTTCGATGGCGTGTAACAAACTTTATTCTCTCTTATTTAATGGATGAGGCAAAGCTTTTGCCTCCGTTTCAAAAAAACATTCTTTTGGACTTTGACTGGGCATCTTACATTTTCCACTGGAATGTATGTAAATATGTGCTGTACAGACCAAGGATTTACGTTGGTAAATATGTTGGATACACAGGAAGTGAATACGATCTGTATAATCTGGCTGGCTGCACAACAGTAATTTATGTTAATAATCTGCCAAATGGATAAGAGTTCAACCTACTTGTAAGGATGATAGTCATCTATTTGTTTGGCGGAGGGTCTAGCTTGGTACGAAATGTTGATATGCCTTGTAAGGCATCTCTAGCAGACCCCTTTTAGTCGTGAGAACTGTCAAAATCCGGTGACTATACGGGTTTGGCCCCCTTTTTTGGACCAGACCAGAGCCCGTATAGTCGCTCGGCCCATAAATGATTTTATGGTGGCCCACAAACTGCCCTCCTCCACATGGTATATTTACAGGTTTGCTACGAGTATACAGGGCGAAACCCTATCCGCCCGCCTCCGGGATTCCCCAATCCCCCCCCCCCTATTTCTTGCGCCGGTGAGCTAAATCCACCGCTCCCGCCCACTGATCTGCGACGATGTGGAGCTCTGGCTGGCGCGGTGGCGGTGAAGACCCGGAGCGCAAGCGTTGCATCATTGCCGACGCGGTGCGCAAGTGCTCGGCCAAACGCTACACCAACTACAGGCTCTCGGTGTCGGCGTCCCTCCTCCGTCGCGAGACGAAGGAGTATGACTGCCGCCATGCACGATGCTTCGACGCGGGGAGCTCTTCGGGGGTGCCGCTGCTTTCGGGGCCCGACGAGCTTCCTCCACTCCGCGTCGTCAAGATCGAGCCGGGGGAGGAGCGCCCGCGCGGCCGTGGCGTCATTAGCCCGGAGGACTACCTCGTCGGGCCTGACGCGGACGCCTTTGACGCGGCGCTCGCCGAGCGCACTGCGCGCGAGCAGGAGGAGGAGGGCGCGTGTCGCTGGCGGGAGGAGGAGCTCAGTGACCTCTTCAAGCAGGCGCTCGCCGTTGCGCGCGAGTCCGACGCCAAACAGGCTGCATGGCGCCACGAGCAGGAGGAGCAAGACAAGAAGTACATCTATCGTGTCTCCTCTGACGACGAGTGAGCGCCACCGCCGCTGCAGCGTCGTCGCCGCACCCGGAGATTTTTCCTAGTATAGGGTAGGGCGACATCACAATGTAAAATAACTTTCGAAATGTAGAAATGTAGCGATGATCAAACTATGAATATAGTATGTGTTCTTCATTTCGCCCCAGAATGCTTTCTTTCAAAATTTACGGTCTCAAATACAGGATCTGTTCGGCGGCAGCCGATTTCGCCCCTCAAACCTCTGATTTCTCGGCCCTTATCCATGATATAAGGGCCGCTGATTATAACATCCCAAATTTTCAATTTGGAATGTTATACATTAGGTCATCTTTGCATATCATATCTTATTGCATTTTGGCTTGGTCCTATAAATTCTACGCAACTCAAGGACCCACGAAGAGAGTTGGAGATTTCGTTATTTTCATATTTGAGTTTTCTTGAATTTTGAAAAGAGGATCGTTTGATTTTAATTATTTTCTCTTTGAATATTTATTTTATGAAAATAAAAGAGAGGGGATAAAATGACTTACTCAAAATAAAGAAATATTGGAGATTTAATATTTAAATCAAATTAGGTTTTTATTCGGAGTTTTATCGCTATTTTATTTGAATTAGGAAAAACATGCGTTTTTCAAAATTGCATTAGAGTCAAAAATAAATGTTCACCTTGTCCGGAAGATTTTTAGAGGACGGGAAATATTTATTTCAGGATTTTTGGAGTTCGTTTAGTATTTCTTTTCTTTATTTTTGTGTGCGGATTTTTTTTTAAAAGTCAACCGACCTACAGGTCGTGCCCGAGCCGGATTCCTTCGGCCGGTGGCTGTATAAGCCGCAGCCTGAGCCGCCCCGAGGCCCAAGTCGCCGCCACCAGCCCACCCCGCTGAAACCCTAGCCCGCGTCGCCCGAGCCGCCGCCGCCGCGTTCCGCCGTCGTTGCCCGCGCCGCCACCTGCCGTCGCCCCGCCGCCCGTCACCGCCCGACCCCGTCACCGGAGCCGCTCGCCGCCGCCGCCGTTTCGCCGGACCTCGCCGGAGGTAGCCGCCGCCGCCCTCGGTTTTTTCAAACCCTAGATCCCTTTTTTTATTTTAGATCGTTTTTTTTTCGGTTTATTTATTTAGCAAACGCCCGTTCGTTCGTTCGTTTTAACAAACGGTTTTCACCATTTAACCGCAGATAGCGAACATTCGTTCGTTAGTTTGTTCGTCAATTTTTCTTTTTCTCTGATTTTTCACGATTATTTTCGATCGCGATTTCTGATCCGATTTTCTTTTTAGTTTATCTTTTCGCTCATTTATCGGAATCAGGGGATTCAAGCGCCTAGAGTTTTGTCTCGAAGCCCTCTTTCTATTTAACCAACTAAACAAGTTTTTGCTACTGTAAAATTTGACTTTAGTCCAGATTAGTAATCGAAGCTTGTTTCTTTCGCAGCTTGAGTTTCGTTGTTTCGTTTGGTTTGATTCTTTTTGCAAATCAGAGTTCTTAAGTTGAGCTTTCTGGTTAGGTATTCTTATTTGAGTTTTACCCGTGCATCTTTGCTTGATTGCTTACTATATGCTTATTTGATTGCGATAGAGTACCCGGAGTGCGAAGTGTGCTACTACGAGTCTATAGGTTTCACGGATCATCAGCAAGGCAAGTAACACTTTGATCATACCCCTTTACTACCCAGTTTTATTGCATTAGATCAATCCTCAAACAATTGCATGATTAGTATCTAATTAATATGTGGGTTTTGGGAAGTAGATGAGGTAGTACCTATTCACCTGTTTATTATCAAACCTTTGGTAGTTACTTCTACGTTGCTTATATTGCTATGCTATGCTCGTAGATGTGGTTTGGGTTTGAGTGTATTCATGACATATGTGAGTATTGTTAATTAATGGTTAATTTAAGGTGGCAACTTTAATACACATCTGGGTGGATTGAGGCACCTGGGGAACCCAGTGTTGCCTGTATTTTTGGAAATCCCAGGGTACTGTGTGATTCTCCTATGGACCGCCACCCAGACTCAAAGGGATCATAAGATTATTCATGCTAGAAACTTCCGTGTGCAGCCACATGCCATTATGGGCTCTGGCATAGTTGAGTAAGTTGTGGGAAACCTTTCCATGATGGGCTAGCAGATGTAGGGGATTGTAGGTGTACAGGCCTATCTATCTGTTAAGGGGACCTCTTCAGAAAGACTCTGTCTCAGTCATCCGTTTCTCAAACGTTATGTAGTGCGACAAACCAACGGAGGAGATCGAGTCTTGTGGGGAAAAGTGTGCAAACCTCTGCAGAGTGTACAAACTAATCATGGTTAGCCGTGTCCTCGGTTATGGACATCTTGAGTATCTAGTTCTCGGATTATCATGTGGATCTCATCACTCTTAATATAATTTGATTGGGTTTAATGATGATGCTTAATTGGGATTGAGTTGGGTGAACCTTTGTTGGGGAACGTAGTAATTTCAAAAAAATTCCTACGCACACGCAAGATCATGGTGATGCATAGCAACGAGAGGGGAGAGTGTGATCTACGTACCCTTATAGATCAACAACGGAAGCGTTTGGTTGATGTAGTCGTACGTCTCCATGGCCCGACCGATCAAGCACCGAAACTACGGCACCTCCGAGTTCTAGCACACGTTCAGCTCAATGACGATCCCCGGGCTCTGATCCAGCAAAGCGTCGGGGAGGAGTTCCATCAGCACGTCGGCGTGGTGACGATCTTGATGTTCTACCGTCACAGGGCTTCGCCTAAGCACCGCTACAATATGACCGAGGTGGAATATGGTGGAGGGGGGCACCGCACACGGCTAAGGAATGATCACGAAGATCAACTTGTGTGTCTAGGGGTGCCCCCCTGCCCCCGTATATAAAGGAGCAAGGGGAGGAGGCCGGCCGGCCCCTATAGGCGCGCCAGGAGGAGTCCTCCTCCTAGTAGGAGTAGGACTCCTACTAGGAGGGGGAAAGAAGTGGGGAGGGAGAGGGAAAGGGGGGCGCCGCCCCCCTCTCCTAGTCCAATTCGGACCAGGGGGGAGGAGGCGCGCAGCCCACCTCTGGCTGCC